TAACGAGTTCTCTTTTAGGAGACGGGTGTCGTGCGGAATACATGGCGCACCCAAGAAATTCATATCCACATATCCAACGGGCGATGAAGCACCACTTGCCCGAGTGCGGGACCCCTGGATGGCTGGATTTCATTTCAGATCAAGGGTATTCGTTGATGGAGTATTGCACTACTCGATGCTATTATTTCTAGAAGACAATCTTCAATTATGTTAATCTCTTTGTAGATGTTGTGATCTTCAAATAATAGTCGTTCTCACGAGTGGAGGAAAGAGAGAAGTTAAAAGCGACTACTATGTAGGAGTACGTGCTTCTACTTAATAACCCTTAACAATTGACTACAAAATCGATGAATTTTGCATTTGAAGTTGGGTGAAGGTTAACCATATACAAAAAATCCAGAGCTCAACAAGATCTACAACTTTGTAGTTGATAAGTTTTTTATTTGAAATCATTTGCATTACCAAGATTTTTTTAAGTTCTTATATTATTAAATTCAAAAAAAAATCAAAATTTTGAAATAAAAAATTCAAATTTGAGAAAGACATCGGATTTTAAAATTTTAAAAATTGGTCATTTGAAATTTAGAATTTTGGAATGGCCTTGGTCTTAAAATTTAGAATTGACCATTCAAAAAATAAATTTCAAAATCTATGAAATTAAAAATAATTTTTGGTACTCTAAGTAATTTTAAATAAAAAATATCCACTACAAATTTGTATCTCTCGTTCAGCTCTATGATTTTGATATAAAGTTTGTATCAATCTGATTTTTATATGCAAAAGGTATGTTTTTTTATGACACATATTAAGGGTGGAGTAGAATATCTAGGGGCATAATGGTCACTTTTAATTTCTATCTCTCGACCGCTCCAAGAAACTATTATTGTAATAGCTACAATGTCTAAGAGCTAATTGCCACAAATGAGCAACGCCATCTACTAAAGACAATATTGAGTAGTGTCTATCAACAAATAACAATATTGAAGGACGATGTTCTACGGAAAATTTGCCCTTCCCACAAACATGTAGTGCTTCCTCTGTTCAAAAACATCTATAACTACAACTTAGTTTCATGAAATTTTCCATGGAATATGCATGGTACAGTGGTATATTAGTTTTGATTTGAAGAAGATGTTAATATATTTTTCGAACTCTAGCACCCTAACCATTGGCACCATTTTGGGTCGACCCTGATCTGAGTCCATTTTATGTGGTCTTTGGTAACGTGGCAATGTTTATTTCCTCTAAGTTGCCCTTTTTTTTTTTGCCAACAAGGCCATGAAGAGGAAAAGGGTTATAGCAGAATATGACACAAACAAGCCACTAGGTTATGTTTTGTCGGTGGAAATCGAATTTTGTTCCTGAGCTAAAGAGGTAGCCAAGTTGCCACGTCGCTTTGTCACTCGGCCCATGAGAGAGCTAGTAGCTAGCTATGCAAACGGTTAGCCAGGGCCGACGATAACAATGATTCTCCGTACATGCAAAAAGTCTGCAGTCAACATGAAATCTCACGCTCATATATATAGAAACCGCAAGTAGCGACCGCCACGCGAATAATGTAGAGAAAATTTGTTCATTGCCATTGGAATCTATATACTCATTTGCTATATGCCATTGAAAATTACAAGCTTTCTTTATTGCCATTGGTTTATAATTTTTTTCACCTGTATGTATGCCATTGCCGTTACTTTTACATAATCTCCGTGCATATGCGCCATTGCCGTTACTTTTACATAATCTCCGTGCACACACCGTAGCTGGTTCGTCTCCCACGGCCCGTGCGTGCCGCAAACCTTTTTCCTGCGCGCTCGCATGCCACCGAGAGCTCGCTGCCCATGCTTGCCGCGCTTGTCGTCCATGCACACGAGCCATCACCGGGCAGCTCGCTTCCCCGCGCAAGGGAGACGAGCCGGCCTAATGTACATCTGATGGTGATCCGATGAAGCGCAAGGTTGCCGTCAGCGGGCACACACGTCCCCGTGCCCGCGCGTGCTGCGAAATTCCGGCGGCCTCACCTTCCCCGCGCTCGCTGCCACTGAGTTCTCGGCTTCTCGCTGCCCACGCGTGCCGCACCTGCCGGCCCGTGCTTGTTGTCCACACACGCGCGTGCCATGGCCATTGACGACTCACCTGCGCTTGCCGTTAGCGCACGCGCGCATCATAGTAGGCCGTCTCGCCTCCTTCTCTCGCTCGACGCATCTCGAGAGGAGCGCGCGCCGAGGGCCTTCGGGCACGGGGGAGGTGTTCGCCCCGGCTAGGCATGCGCCGGCGAGGCCTGTGTGGGCGCGCGATCGAAACGTGTGCTGGGTGGGTGCGGTGAATATCATATCACTGGCTTCCTGTTCATGTGGCCACAAAATGTGCATGCACAGAAAGCTTCCTTTTTTTAATCTATATTTTACGTCACCAGGCCGGCCTGGTATAGAATATCATATCACTGGCTTTTCGAATGTCGGTCTCCGCTGCTTTCTTTAGTACCACGGCCTTGTTTAGAAGGCAAATTTTTATAACTCGGACGCTGTAGCATGTTTTGTTTGTATTTGATAAACTTTGTCTTATCATAGACTAACTAGGCTTAAAATATCCGTCTCGTGATTTACAACCAAACTATGTAATTAGTTATTTTTTTTACCTACATTTAATGCTCCATACATGTGTCCAAAAATTGATGTGAGAGAGAGTGAAAAAACTTGAAATTTGGAGACAATCTAAACAAGCCACATGAAATTGCACTATTCTTTTACAACAAATCATATATAGTACTACTATCTAGTCTAGTCTAGTCTAGCTCAGCTCCCCTGATAATTAATTAATAAATTGTGTATATATCAGCTCAACCAAAGAGAACTCGAGTTCGATCTTGAGAACTACTCCTAGCTAGCTAGCAGGCCCGCGGAACTGGTATTTGAAAACCGAAAAAATGAGGGCTTGATTAGTTCCCAAAAAGTTTCCTAAAAAATACTGCAGTAGCCATCTCATCGAATCTGGTGATACGTGCATAGAGCAATAAATGTAGACGAAAAAAACTAATTACACAGTTTAGTTGAAAATTACGAGACGAACATTTTAAGCCTAATTAGTCCATGATTGAACACTAATTGCTAAATAAAAATAAAAGTATTACAGTAGCCAAATTCTCAAAATTCACGAACTAAACACAGCCTGAATTGTAACGATGAACTTGAACTCCACTCTTTCTTGGCATGAAATTTTGTTTACGTGAGAATATGAGTGGCTTGTCCAATTTTTTTTCCCCTAGCCTTAGGTGGTCTCAGACTTGCTATCACCCCGTCAATCAAATCGCGCATCAAAGGCGACGCGACGCTTGACATGACAGAGAGAATGGAACCTGGTACTCCTACAGGATCAGGATCAGGATGGATGGCAGCGCATGTGGTGCCCGTGCCTCCCCTGCCGCATGCGCGAGAAAGAGGGGGGAAAAGAAAAAGAAATCTTCCCAGGCCTGGCTTAGGCTTAGATCGGGGTTAGGAATCAGTATTTAATATTGTAGTACTTTTATTTGTATTTGATAATTATTGTCTAATTATGATCTAACTAGACTTAAAAAATTCGTCTTGTAATTTATAATCAAACTATGTAATTAGTTATTTTTTTATCTATATTTAATATTTTATACATGTGTCCAAAGATTTAATGTAACGAAGAAAGTGAAAAAACTTACGATCTAAACAAGTCACCGGTCCCAGGAACGTGCATGCACGGGCTGGCCAGGTGGTGGTGGTGAATTTTATTTTATTCAGGCGCGGATCGTAGAATGTCTCCGTGTCTGCCGCCTGGACACTGGACACTGGACACTGGACACTTGGACAGGATCACAGCTGCACAGCAGGCAGCAGCAAAGTGTTCTGCAACACGTACGAGTACTCCTACCGCGTTTTAGCGAGCGAAAGCAAATTCTCCTAATAGTTTGTTTAGGCTGTGTTTAGTCCGTAAATTTTGGGAATTTAGCTACGGTAGCACTTTCGTTTTTATTTAACAATTAGTATTCAATCATGGACTAAATAGGCTCAAAACGTTCATCTCGCAATTTCTAATCAAACAGTGTAATTAGTTTTTTTCGTCTACATTTAATGCTCATTCGATATGATGACTACTGCAACACTTTTTAAGAATTTTTTTGGAAACTAAACAAACCCTTAACTGAGATTCGAGGGAGGGGAGGGCGCCTGTCGTCTGTCTCCCTTTCCCTTTTCCTCGAATCGCACCGCAGACGACCCCAACACCGGTTGGCTGGCTCGACTCGGCTGTGCTGTCGTGTGCGCGCGGGGTGCGGCGGCAGTGCGTCACCACGTGTGTGTGTGTGTGTGTGGAACAAGCCACCCAGGAACCGGACCGATAAAAGGGCGCGTCTCTTTTGGCAAAGCAGTTCAAAGCGTAGCGTCGCGGGCAGACGCAAAAGCAATGGGGAGGGAGCCCAAAGTTGGTAGCGCGAGAATTGGATTTGGACTGATTGGATCACACACTGTGGGTCGTGTCACACAGCGCCAGAGCCTCCGTTCCCAGTCCCCAATGCAATTGCAAGCTAGGAGTAGTAGTCCCCATGTGGCACGTACCGTACGGCCAAACAAAACGAAACGCAAACGCGGAGGAGGGCTTCTTCAAGCCATGTTGTCGCGGCTGCAATGCATGCGCTCGATCGGGGGGCTCGCCGCTCACGCTCTCAACTCCATCGACGCCGTGCGCTTGGGGGCCTTGGGCGGCTGCTGCTGCTGCCGGAGCCTGCAGGCAGGCACTGCAGGGAATCAGCGGAACGCGCACACCGCCCGCCCACCTGCCCGGCCGCCGTGTTCGGTGTTCTCGGCTCATCTGCGTTGCGGCACCGCCGCCGCGCTCCACAGTCAAGAAGGGCACATGGATGTATGCCTGTCTAATTTTAATTTCTACGGCTGTTTCAGTTATTCGCTGCAGTGAATTGCAGGCAGTCGTCGTTTACTTCTGCAGCTACAGCAAGCAAGCCTTACGTCACGTGTCCGGCCGGGATGACGCTTACGGAGTATTTCGAAAGGTGTGGTGCATGCATTCATCCTGCAATTCCCCGCTTTCCTAAGCTACTACTCTTCCGGTCAAAGAGCAGGTCTCTTCCAGTCAAAATTTACTGCAACCACTTAACCAGTGGAGTTACGAAAGAACAAAATGCATGAATGCACTGCATGATTTCGTAACAACTAACTCGTCCTGTTTAAATTTATGATTTCCTAACACGTACTCGTCGTGCTTGAAATCGTAAGTTTTTCTGACTATCTAGGTATGTAGCAAAAAGCTACGTGCTTAGAAAAGCTAAATCAACTTATAATTTGGAACAGAGTGAGTCCTTGAATGTGTCGACGATGGCAGTATAGAAATTACAAATTGCGGTGTTTCAAAGTTTGCTTGTTAGGGCCTGTTTATATCCCTCCAACTAATAGTTAGCAAAAAATTAGCTAAAATTTGTTTGGATCTTTAGCTAATAAGCCTTACCTACCACCCAAGACACAACTAACGATTAGCTACTAGCTGGTTTCTCCTTGCTAACACAGCTAATGGCTCACTTTGTGAATCCAAACATGGTTTTCTTCTAGTAAAAAAATATAAGTAGACTAGATATATATACGTTTTTCCTGAGTCAAACCCTTTTAACCTTAATTTGAGTATGTGAAATCTTATACGAGTTATTGGCAACATGCGAATTGCATTTCTAGATTCATTTTAAATATATTTTCACAATCTATTACTCTCTCCATATAAGATAATACTCTCTCCATCCCCCCAAAAACTACAATTCTAAGTTTGAAGCAAATCAAATTATCGTAAGTCCGACTAAATTTATAGAAAGTGATATCAACATTTATATTTTCAAACAGGTTTCCTATGAAACATATTCCATGACTAATTTAGTGATACTCCCTCTGTTTTTATACGTCATATTAGTTTTGTCCAAGGCCAAACATTTCTAACTTTGATCAACATTTTTTTAAAAGAATCATGTTGTTTCACAACATGTGAACTATATATTATGAAATTATTTGTCATAGTAAATCTAAAAACATGAATATTATATTGTTAAATTATATTTTTTAAAATTGATGATCATAGATAGAAACATTTGACTTAGGATAAATCTAATACAACATGTAAAAATAGTGGGAGTACTTTTTCGGTATCATAAACGTTAGTACTTTCCATACAAATTTGACCAAACTTAAAATTATTTTATCCCTCGAAAAAATCTACAAGAATTGTATTATTTTTGGGATGGAGAGGCATGTTCTTATAGATATTTTTAGACAAATTAAAGCGTCAGTTTGCAGACCGTTTTGATGCCGTAATGGGTATATTATTCTCGATAGGAAGAAGTATAGCATTGTAGGAGAAAAGAAAATATCTAGTTGGAAGCACCAAGTTGGAATATGTGTAGAAAATTAAAAGAAAATTGTCACATCAGGTGAGAATATATTCTGCGGCTACGCAAAACTTGTATGATTGAGAGGTGGTTTTGAGTTGTATATTGAGTTTGGAATTCAAAGCTGCTTAAAGCAAGGGTTTAGGTCATTTTTTTATTCTTTCCTTTTTGAGATGATTCTTTTCTTCTATAAAGAATGTGTATATTGGTTTGTTATTATTAACACAGCTTTATTCGTCTAAAAAGTGTAGAACTTTAGACGAAAAAAATATACATTTACTAACGTGTAAATTAGGGGAAAACACAGAAAACGAAGGATGAATATAAGCTCCTGTAAAATTTGTCTTCACCTCTGCACTTCGTCAATTTCATAGTGACAGAAGAAGAAAAAAAGCAGGTTTAATCATGAAATATGTACTGTTCAAATAGCTGCTTCTTTTGCTGAATTTTGAACTCCTACACATGTATGTTTGCAAAATTAAATTCAGGCCACACTGGCGGTTTAATTATTCTTATGTTTTCACGCGGCATCTGGCCGTTGTTTGTAACGGGAAGAATCGGACCCATGCATGCATAACAAACAAGGCATTTGCAAGCAAGCATACAAAAGAACATAAATGTCCATCTCATGCCACGTCTCCATCTCCACATTCATCCATCCAAGTGCCGAAGTGAGCCACCCTGTGAATTGTGAATTTGTGATGCATCCCCGCCCAAAGCAACTCATCCCCAGCTCCTCCAAATTTGGCTTCCCAAACACCCCTGCACCTCACAAGTCACAAGAGAGAGGAGAGGGACAAACACCACACGCACTCTCTCTCTCCCCTCGCTAAATCCCAAATCCTAGTCTTATCATCCTGTCTTGCTGCCTCCCTTGTGCCTCCTGCGCTCGGAGCTCCCACACTCCCGAGGGAAAAAAAAGCGAGAAAGCTTCGAGCTTTGCCCGCCGCCCCCCCCCCCCCCCCCCTGCTAAAATGTGATGTTGCCATCCATCCGAATCCGATTGCTTCTAGTTTAGTCCCCCACTCCTCTCCTCCTGGGTCAGTGTCCATCCATCCCTGGCCACCACTTCGTCTGCTATCCATCCCCATGCCGCGGCCGCCACCAGCGCCGCTGCCGCCTTCTTCTCCACTCTTTTGACTGTGTTTCTTTTTGTGTTTCTTGTCGTCCTAGTTATGGGCTCCGGCGAGGTGGATGGACGCGCATTGTCGGACGCGGAGCAGCAGTAGCGGCGTCCAAGCAAGCGGGGGATCTGGATCCGAGGCACCACCACCGGGCTCCTCACGACGGCGACGGAGGCGGCGGAGAAGGAGGAGGAGGAGCGCAGCAAGAAGCAGATGAGCAGCAGCGGCGCCACCACCACCGGCTGTTGCAGCTCCACCAGCAAGTGCAGCAGGACCAAGACCCGCCGCCGGTACCCCTCTTCCAGCTCCAGCACCTGCAGTCCGCGGCGGCCGTGAGGCAGCGGGGCGGCTTGTCGGCCGAGTATGCCCTTCTCGCGCCCATGGGCGACGCCGGCCAGTCCCACCACCACGCCTTCCAGCCGCAGCTCCTGTCCTTCGGGGGAGTCGGCCAGCACCACGTGCACCAGTTCACGGCGCAGGCGCAGGCGGCGCCCGCGGCGTCCAACTCCTCGAGGCCGCGAGGAGGAGGCGCGGGCGGCGAGGTCGTGGCCGCGACGTCCGCGTCGCACTCGCGCGTGAGGGGCGGCGCCGGGGAGATCGTGGCGGTGCAGGGAGGGCACATTGTGCGCTCCACGGGGCGCAAGGACCGCCACAGCAAGGTGTGCACGGCGCGCGGGCCGCGGGACCGACGCGTGCGCCTGTCGGCGCACACCGCCATCCAGTTCTACGACGTGCAGGACCGCCTGGGCTGCGACCGTCCCAGCAAGGCCGTGGACTGGCTCATCAAGAACGCCAAGGACGCCATCGACAGGCTCGAGACGCTGCCCGCGTGGCAGCCCACGGCCACCGCAGCCAATGCCACCGCGCCGCCGTCCTCCTCCACGCACCCCGACTCCGCCGAGAACTCCGACGACCAGGCGCAGGCCATCACCGTCGCGCACACGGCCTTCGACTTCCCGGGTGCTGGTGGAGCCGGCGGCGGCGGCAGCGGCGCGGGCTTCCTTCCGGCGTCGCTCGACTCGGACTCCATCGCGGACACGATCAAGTCTTTCTTTCCCATGGCTGGCACGGGAGGCGGCGAGGCGTCTTCGTCCACGGCGGCGGCGCAGTCGTCCGCCATGGGCTTCCAAAGCTACACGCCTGACCTCCTGTCGCGCACCGGCAGCCACAGCCAGGAGCTCCGGCTGTCCCTGCAGTCCCTCCCAGACCCCATGTTCCACCACCAGCACCAGGACCGGTCGCAACAAGGCCACAGCGGCAATGGCTCCGCGCAGCAGGCGCTCTTCCCCGGCGCCGCCAGCTACTCGTTCGGCGGCGGCGGCGGCGCCATGTGGACCGAGCAGGCGCAGAGCCAGCGCATGGTGCCGTGGAACGTGCCCAACCCAGGCGGCGGGAGCACTGGCGGCTACCTGTTCAACGTGTCGCAGCAGGCGGCGCACATGCAGGCGGCGCTTGGCGGCCAGAGCCAGTTCTTCTTCCAGAGGGAACCCCTTCAGTCCAGTAACCAGCCCTCCGAGCGAGGATGGCCGGAGACCGTCGAAGCCGACAACCCGATGCAGCAGCAGCATGGTGGCGGGCTAAGCTCCACCGTGTCGACCATCGCGTTCGCGCCCGGCATCGGCTTCTCCGGGATCCGCATCCCCACCAGGATACAGGGCGACGAGGAGCACAACGGCGGCAGCGGCAATGGCGACAAGCCGCCGCCGTCTGTGTCCTCGGCTTCTCACCACTGACAGCAGCAGTGGAGCACAGATTACTCCGCCCACCACCAACCACCATGAGCATTGAGCAATACACCATGTATCAGTATCAGTAACATCACCGTCAGCTCCTCAACATGCACCCTTGTGAGAATTCTCTCGTAAACTCGTAATTCTTCGTTCTAGCATTGTATTCCCACTACAGGACTGCTGTTTCTTGGACTGAAATTTCTGATGCAATTTTCTATCCCCATTTCAGGTAGTTATAATTTGCTGCTTCTTCCTATGGTGATTGCAACAAGGAGGAGCAAGGTTGGGAGCTAAGCACTCTTTTGGCTGGTTGGTCGGTCGGTCGGTCGGTTTTCTAGATCTCTTGCTGCTTGTGTCAATGGTTTTTGCTTCAAGAACTCACTCGGAGCTTCTTCTTAGAAATTAGGCCTGTGAGAATGCAGCACATTGGCTTGATCGATGTGATGGCTTGTTTGCTGCATTACGGTAGGTTTAGTTGATGTTCTACTAGTTGCTGTAGTTCAAGCTTGCTTCTTTTGCACTTGCTCTTGTTTGTGATATGCATGAATGGTTAATGTGCTTCCTCCTGGGGTTCAGGAGCTAAGCAGCAGTGCCAGTAGATGTTGTTGTTAATTAACCTGATAATTAAGCGGATGGGGACAGTAGTCTTTCGTTCTTTAATTTGTTTCCTGTGATTGGCATTTGAAACAGATTGTGCCTGCCTGCATGCCCTAGATCTCCTCCTAGTTTTGTTTAACATTTTAAAATTAGTATACACCTAGGATGGTGCCAGTCTCCTACCTGCTGCAGCCTATCACAATATCTTATCTTGGCTTTGTTCTTGCTGAACCATTGTTTGGAAGTGAGATATTAAAGACCTCAAAGGCATCACAGGAGTAGGATTTGTGCACACTTTAAGCCTCTTTTTTTTATTAAGGAAAAAAAAAGATACCACAAAACTTGCAGGAGTAGGTTCATTGCATGGCCTCACGCTAAGCAGTGTACTAGTAGTAGCAGTTTTATCCCACCCTAATCCAGCATGTGATTGGTTTGTTCTCTTGCCCTGCCGCTGCTGCTGTAGCAGGACTGCAGGAGGACGCAGCGACAGCAGCAGCAGCTGCAGCTTTCCTGTGCCATCCATGATCTACTCCATCCATCTATCACTGGGCACGGCAAGAATGACACAAGGGAAAAGGTTTTGCTGCGTGTCATTAGCGCAGTACATGCGGCCACCGGCGGCACAGTACATTGCCCCCGGCTTTTTAACCATTTTACCTCAGGCCCGTAGCCTGCCTGCCTGCCTGCAACGGGCAGTGCCTGTCTGGCTGATGCCAGGAGGAGGGAGTCGAGATGCAGTGCAGTGGGGGGCCATGCCGGCAAGGCAACCCGCCAGCCAGGCAGCCATGGCCATGCATGATTCCACCTCCTCAGCCCGGCCTCTCTGATTGGCTTCCACATGGAGTCATGGACTATTGGTCTACTCCCTTTGTCTGCCCTGCCCTGTCGCTGTTTTAACTTTTACTAGGGCGCTAGCTGCGCTGGTAGTTTTGCTGTGGGGATGATGGGTGATGATGAGAGGCACGTCATATATAGTTCTTGGAGGAGCCCGGGGCCGGGCCCTTCATCCATCTCCTCTAGGAGTCGGCCGCCATAGATGAGGAGGGGCTTTGCTTGCATGCTTGCGGCATGGAATGAGCAACCAACACTTTATACACCCCATGCTATTCACAACACTGATGAGAGCGCAAGTGGTTATCACAAAGTAAATAGTAGTACTTTACAGGCTTTATTAGCCTGGCCCGGCAGCTACGCACATTTTGTTCCACTGTAGAGAATACATAGTACTGTACTATATATAAAGACTCATTTTTTCACTTATATATAGTGCTACGCCATACTACAAGTTAATGATAAGATTATGTATCACTGTGTAAATCAATCAAATGTCTCATTGTGTTTAGACCAATATATGCGAGTATCCCCAACTGGATTTCTAGACGCACTGATTTTTTTTTTCTACTTGCTATCTTCTATTGCTTTTATTGTCAACCGATCCTTATATACGGGAGTACCCCAACCTGGTTTCTGAACACACGATGTTCCTTTTCTCCTTGCTATCTTGTAGTATTGCTTGGTTTGCTAGTTGAGGCATATATATGTGAGTATCCATTCCCCTTTGGGTATCGCTACTATTTTTTATTCTGTGGCCTTTATTTTGATAAGTAAGTCATTGGTGGAAAAATAATCGATAGGATTTTGTGCATATTGTAGCGACGAGGGCGACTAGGATTTGTATTCTCTTTATATTACATGAAAACCTATGTTTTTCCTTCCCAACCCGCTACTAGCAAAAAGTGTTATGATTCAGATACACGAGATAAGATAGTATTCACAATCTATATATTGCTGATTAAATGGGAGAGAAGGATCAGAAGTGTATGTATGTGTGTGCTTATTTATATTTAGGATATTCATTACTTGAAATGAGAAGTTTTCGGTTCAAAATTTGAAATTGGTGAATGCTTTGCGTCCGTTCGATCATTCGTCCACAGAACTGACTACTAAAGTAATAATCATTCTCTCCATAACGGTGGCATGCAAGGCCCCGACACTAGAATCCACCCTACTAGCCCCCCTCATCTATCAACCCTAGCACACGACTACAAAAATGCTCTAACTCGCAAAGAGTGTCGTTCCATTTTATCCAACTTTATAGACACAAATTTCTTGTTCTCCTTCCTATATGCTGTATTGATTTGCTTGTCCATATATATATATATATATATATATATATATATATATATATATATATATATATATATATATATATATATATATGATTAACTGCAATATCCATTGACTAATATGGATTTCTAAACATATGAATTTCTTGTTCTCATTGTTGGCTGATATTAGTAACAGTGTGGCTCCTTGTGTTATGATATGATTTTGATTCCTAAAGACAGTCCATAATAGTGGCATATTGTTACAATTTCATTACCATCGAGACAAGTGATATAGGCCCATCGTTTCGTTGAAATTTGGCTTATGCTTATGCTGAAATGCTATGAGAGAAAAACATTATTAGATTCATTTGAAAAGTACCAAGTGAAGTAGTCTTTGTAGAACAAGGCCATAGATAATCTTCCTCAAACCAATTAGTTAGCAATGACACAAGTTGTCCATCTAGCCAACCATGTTTCATTCTCACAAAAAAATTAAGGTCAAACTCTCACCCTAGCATGTTTAACATGTCGATGATATATAAAGCACACAAATAGGAAAATTTAAGTAATTAGACTTGATGAGTGCTTGGAAGAAAACACACGGACTATGTATGTCTTTATTCGCGCACTCAACACCCAATCATCAACATTGGTTTACATGTTTTCTACATCGTGTATGTATAAAATGTGGCATTTTTGTAGTAGTATTTGGTAGTATCTAAAATGGAGCTGGTTAAGGACCCCATGTTTGGAGAAATACGGGAGGTCAAATATAAGAAATCCTAGTTGAAACGATATATCGAGATCATTAAGTGTCATATTTAAAATGAAGCACTACATTTGAGTTAATGAATAATCTTATATTAAAATGCAGGCACACATATATACAGAGGGAGTCTATACTCTACAAGTGTGAAACAATCAAACAAAGGCACATATTTTCTTTTGAGAGGATATATGCACCATGTAGCTTAGGTTGTGAAGAACCAGATCCCTCGCGCTTTCCTGAGGAAAAAGAAGGGTTCTGAGGCAAGCCAAAGAAAGAAAGCCACTACTAGCTGTAGCATCAGCCGGCAGTCCGGCACCCACCACCGCATGCAGGAGTCGGGAAACGGCCATGTAAACGGATCACATGCGTTTGCACGGCAGCCATGCATGCGGATGCTACCAAAACAAACCTGACGGGAGTCCCCAGCCCGGGGCGGGCCGCCAGGCGGCCGGTGTGCGAGTGCGACGACACGACTACTGTAGCCGGAAACGAACAGGTCCTCAGATTCGCGTCGAGCTCCACATGACGTGCATGCATCCCCTCGCGGTGAACAGCAGGCGACGACGACGACGGAGCGTGGGGGGTGGGCGGACGGACCCCGGGCAACCGACCTGGCACCGGCAGTCAGTACTGCATGGCTATGGGCCGCGGGGGTGTTTGGTTTCCCTCTTACACTAAATTTTAGTGCCAGTCATAACGGATGTTTAACACTAATTTAGAGTATCAAACGTAGATTAATTACAAAACTAATTGCATAGATTAAGACTAATTTACGAGACGAATCTACTAAGCCTAATTAGTTCATGATTTGACAATATGGTGCTACAGTAACATATGCTAATGATGGGTTAATTAGGTTTAATAGATTCGTCTCGTAAATTAGTCACGGCTTCTATAATTAATTTTATGATTAGTATCCAGCCGATCTGACACCCCGGTGACACTTTTTGGGCCTGTTTGGTTCCTTCGACTCAATTTTAGTCTCTGTCCCATCGGATGTTTGACACATACATTGAGTATTAAATATAGACTAAAAATAACTAATTACACAGATTGCGACTAATTTGCGAGACGATTTTTAAGCCTAATTAGTCTATGATTTGACAATGTGGTGCTACAGTAAATATGTGCTAATGACGGATTAATTAGGCTTAATAAATTCGTCTCGTAAACTAGTCTCCATCTGTGTAATTAGTTTTATAATTAACTCATATTTAGTCCTCCTAATTAGTATCCGAACGTCCGATATGACATGCACTAAAATTTAGTCCGTGCAACCAAACACCCCATTGGCCTTGGAACCAAACTTTAGTCTCTGCATCGTGCACTTATGGCCAATTGGCCATGGCGCTTGTGGTGTTCGCAGCTGCCGGTGTATCACGGCAACTCCGACACAATGATGGCCGGCAGGCAGGAGCCGGCCGGGTACGTACGGTCTCGCTCGCCTGCATGCAGCTGCACACGGGAGGAGAGGCCAGAGGCGGGCGGGTCAGGCTCAGCCGCTCAGGCCACGTTCCCATGCGCAGGCA